CCAACTTCAAATGGAAAACAATCTGATTAAGTTCAAGCTGTTCGTGCATCAGCAAGCTTAATTCAAAATGCTGGTCCAAGTTTAAATTGTTGTCAACAATAAATATAAAGTAGTATTCACTAATAACAGCAAAATTTATGAAAGACAAGCAAGTAGTTGGTGAATTACAATTGAAGAATGCGTTTGAGAGTCACAATAAATTTAGCTGTGTCACCATCAAAATAACCAATATCATTGCACAAATTGCTAGCCTCTCGTGCCAGTCTGTTCAAGATGTCATAGAAAATGATATCGGTTCTGCAGTACAGGGGGAGAAATGGCTCCTAGTTTCGGCTTCTCCAATGCTGAGCAAAAAAGCAGAGCTCCAATAAAAATATCAGGGCATGGATAATTCCAGTAATAAAGGCCTGGAGGAAAATCATATAAAATAATCTCCTGTCTGTTAATTTTGGTATCTTCAACAAATTATGAATATCATAATAAACACGATCCTTTCTGACATGGAGTTCTAATTAAGAAGGCTAAATGACGCAGAAACTTGTTCTGGACTCTCTCCCATGCCACCAATGGACCACTAGTACAAGTCCACACAATCAAGGCATATTCCAGAATGGATTTCATCACTGAAAACAATAGCAGTTTGTAGGTTTCTATTCTATAAAAGTTGGATGAACTACAAATCAGGAAGCCAAACATTTTGTTAGCCACAAGTCAGATCAATGTGTAAATTAAAGTCCAAGTGACAGTCAAAAATAACCCCAATGTCAACAGTGTTGTCCACAGCCTTCGCTAGTTGGCCACCAATGTTTCCTTGTATAGCTAACAATGTACATTTTGTTTACATTCACCAACATGTCATACTTCTTGCACTAGTACATCAGAAATGAAAAGTCAGGTTGTAGTCTATCAGCATCCTCAATGTTTTGAATACACAAATAAATTTTGGAATCATCAACAAAAAGCAATACTTGAGTTACAATGGATGGCAAGTTGTTTTTGAACACATTGAACAATAAGGGCCATGGTTGTGATCCCTGAGGAACAACAGATGAATCATCAAAGAGAACTGAACCTGCAAAACCGAGACAAATTGTTTCCTCCCCTTGAGATAATTTCATAGCCAGGATAACATAGGATCACCAACTTAGGCACTTTCTCTAGGATAATTTTGTGATTTACGTGGTCTAAGGCCTTTGCAAAATCAGTATTGATTACATCACCCTGACCATCATCGAGGGCTTTCACAATGAAACAAAAGAGAATAAGATGAGTGTTGATACGTGGTGATAAGTGTTGGTGAATCTTGCTGGTCAGAAAGCATGTTGAAAATCAGATAGATTAAAATCAATTGTAGATGAGATTGAAAAACTAAAACTTCTTTGAAGAGTTGAGAAATAGAGCTTTGAATGGATAATGGATGATAGATGGAAATGTTTATTTTTCCATTTATCTTGACAATGAAAAAAATTGGCTTGTTTTTATGCCAAAATACTTTTAGAATCCCGTTAACACTTCATTATTAAGCATTTCCAAGTTGG